GTCCCCGTTACGTGTCTGCTTGCACAGAAGCATGTCGCGATGTGAATCTCCCCATCCAATTCTTACTCGATGACACACATTTCGTGTGTTTTATGTGAGCAGTTCTGTTTGAACAGTTGGAGTAGAGAATATTGTAAGTTACTGCTAGCAAAACAATGCGAAATATGTAATTATTTTCGGTAATCCGGGCACTTTTGGTAATCTGACACACCTTTGGTCCCATACCTGTCGGATTATCAAGGGACAACTGTACATATTTATAAACATAGTTTGCAGCTTTGTATCAAGTTTACTCAGTGTTTTTGAGTAGTTGTATTTCATGTTTATAAAATTACTTAACAGAGTGATAAATAATATCTAATAGATGAAAACAGAAAAAGGTTAAAATGTTTTTATAAAAAAAGAATAATAATAATAATTTGCAGATCATGGTCACCCACCAAGACCCAATATATTGTCATTGGTTTGTGACTTCTCCTGGGTTATTGTCTGGAAGTTCTTGAGCAGGATTATATGAAATGCTACACATTCTAGAACATTCTAAAAGTTTCTATTAGGATTAGAAGAGTTGACTTGTTCTGTCTATTATATACTTTCACCATTGAAATATAGAGCACATATGATGATAAAATGTGCTCTCTTTCATTATCATATATGAAAATAGAGGAATAGTTATTAGTGGTTTTAAGCATGATCTATAAATAATCATGGTCATGCCACTATGTTGTAAAATCAGTAATATACCATTTTCTGCCAGTTGATGGTGTTTGATTGAATTTAGCCCATTTTTCTCCTATCATGCTTTATTAAAAAAGGATTGCATCTGTTTTTCCAGAACAGCAAAAAGAATTATTAATTACAAGACTTTATGAATTATTTTTGTGATTATTTGCTATTATTTTATTTTGCAGAATAAATGTCAAAACAAAAAAAATTATTAAAAAAATAAAAAAATGGCAAAAACTTAACAATGATTAAACAAAATAACAAAATATTATTATGCAGTCAGTGGCATGCTCCATTGATACAAGTGTCAATTAACATGAAAACAGCAGACAAATAATTATCATTTTTAAACAAAGTAAAAACATTATTTTAAAATAAAGTAACTCCAATGGTATATTACTTAAATGGGACAGATGTAATATCATTTTACAACCAAGTTTAAATGAGACTACAAGCTGGAGACTAGTGATGGTTCATATCTAGTAATCAGAGACAATGAATTTTGGCTGATTAAATCTTTCAAAAAAATTTATTGG